ATGTGTGGCTGGGGGCGGGGGCGGGGGCGGGGTGGTGCTGCGCGCGGTGCAGACGGTGACGCCGGTGCGCGACTTCTTCTCCGCGCAGCAGCTGGTGAGCGTGCCCGCCGCCGGTCTGTACACTGTGGCCGTCGACGCCGCCTTCGTAGACGACAAGGGTCAGCTTTGGCTCACTGGACCCCGCACCACCATACTCGTCAAGGTAACGCCGGCGCACCGCACACACCATACACACACCACACCACTCTCGCCTTTAACGGTGATTATACAATGTTTGCACACAAATAAGTTTATAGAGAGCTTGTGTTTTGGGCGATGTCCACAGGCGCACGACGACCCCGCCAGCAAGGGAGCGGCGCAACCCCCGCGCACCAGGTTCTAGTGCCACCGCGACAACCCTCTTACTTTGTATCAATTATAACTTCTCCAATAAAATGCATTTGATTACACGTTTATATTTTTTTTAATTTTAACCCTTCCGAATGTCGATACTTGCTACATATGTACGACCAGCGTGTGCCACTGTGCGCCACGACTACACACAGCCCATTACCATCACTGGGATCACACAGTGAGACAATGAGTCTCCGCGCCGACCCTACCACAAATGTATCTCGAGCATCATTCATTTGCATCACGTCGTCAAATATCATATTTATATTTGATAAACTAATTATAAGCTACATTTTTCTGTTACATTACTTTTATTTTACCAATTTATCGATTATGTTCGTAACATATTTTACAATGTCTAGTTGTAATTTTTAGGTTTGACATAATCGTATGTATATATCATATTCATTTTTGAACGAAATGTTTACGAGCTACCTTCGTTACGAAGTTATTAAATAAAGTCGAGTTTAAAATGAGTTTGATGTGTTGAACGACTGCGCTGTCGATGCGCGCCTCCCCGCACCTCGCACTATCTCACCTACTTACGGCCTCGTCTATAGGTAAACAATGAGAAATGACCAGCAATCAAATATCTAAGATAAGGCCACCGCTGATAAGGTGGTAGCTGCGCCGCGAGCCGCACTATCAGTGTTGTGTGCGTCTAGTTGCGGACAGGATGCGGCGCGCGCTCGTTTTTCTCGCGCTGGCCGCCGCCTGCTGCGCGACGCGCGGCTGGACCTTCTGCGACGCACCCGGTGAGTGCGTGTGCAGGTACCACGAACGCGCCGAGGAGGACCTCATGCGGCAGCACATCGACTGCTCCTACGGGAGGGGCGCCCACGCCGCCAATCGCACGCTGCCCCCCCGGGCCCATTCTCTCGACCTCTCCTCGAGCGGCTTGAAGATAATACGATCGGGACCTTTCCTTCGGTCCAAATCCTTACAGGAGTTGGGGCTTAAAAATAACGACATTACATACATCGAGCCGGACGGCCTCGCGCTCCCCGATCTGCGCCGCCTCGACCTCAGCTACAACCGACTGGAGCGACTGGACGCCGCCGTCTTCCGCTCTATTACGAAGCTAGAGTTCTTAAATTTGGCGAATAATAATTTTGTGTCGTTCGCAAAACTCACTTTCCATCCGCTGCGGGAGCTGCGCGAGGTCATCCTGAACAACAACAACATCGGGCCCGCCCTCCGGGACACTGACCTGTTCGACAGAGACGGGTTCGGCCTGACGAACAAGATCCAGAAGGTATCCATCGGTGGTATCGGTCTGGGCCGCGTGCACTCCAACTTCTTTGTGGACGCCTACGATATACGGGAGCTGGTCATCACCAACAACGAATTGAGGGAGCTGTTCGAGATCCCGTTCACCTTGGAGTACCTGGACGTATCTGACAACCCTATCCGAGAGATATCGGGCGAGGATTTTACCGACTTGACGGCGCTGAAGGTGCTCAAGATGAACAACCTCGGCATCGGGTCGGTGCCGGCGTACGCGCTGGAACCGCTGCGAGCGCTCGTGAGGCTCGACCTTGAGAGAAATCTTAACTTGTCGGAGTTCAGCGCGCTGGCGTTCGGACAAGAAGTGCTGGAGGACGCGGACGACTTCACACTGGAGGAGCTATCGCTTAAGTCGTCCCGGTTGCAGACCCTGGACCGGCGGCTTCAGGTGCCCCTGGGGCGGCTCTCTCGCCTCGACCTGCAAGGCAACCGCTGGCACTGCGATTGCCGGCTGGCCTGGATCAAGCAGTTTCAAATGAAAGCAAACGATTACGAGCACCTGAGGTGAGTACACAAACGTCGCCTACGTTGAGAGAATAATAGTTTCTGTTGAGTATCTATGCTTTGATAATAATTATAACTATCAAATCTTAGTAACAGTCGCGTTCCTTTTAATATTAAGAAGAAATAACAAAATTCTAGACCTATTTTTTGAAGGTTATCAATCAGCGAACATTATCAGTGTCGGCTTTAATCCGCAACAAGTGACTTATCGTATTCATGTGACGTACACCTCTTTGTTCACCGATTTCTGAATGTTCGAATAGTATGAGTCATATTCGTGGACAGTTTTCTACAAATATAATAATTAATTGCAGAACCCACAACAACATAGTAACGGGAAAAGTGCGACCTGTTTCAGATGCTACACCCCGAAGTCGCTTTTTAACAGCAAAATATTCGAGTTGAAGGAGAAGTACTTTCGATGCCCCCGGGAGCGAGGCGGCGGCGGCGTCGGCTCGGGCATGGCCGTCGGCCTCATCGCGTTTTGCATGTTCTCGTCGGCGGCGGCGCTGTGGCTGTTCTGGTACTTGCCGGGCTGCCCGCCGCGGGGCCGCGCGCTGCCCACAGCCGCCTACTCCGCGCTGCCGCTGCACGCGCCCACCGCAACTATAGCACCCACCGCCCTCTAACTAGTGTAAGCATACACCCTTGTACAATGTTTTCGACGGTATCTGATATTAGGGAAGCTTCTGTGATACTATTTATAGTTTGGCAGCATTCATGTAAATAATCCCTTCGTTGTTGACTTATGACTTATGTCCTAGTTATTTTTCCATTTCGTTCGCATCTTCTGAACCGTTTTCTTATTCTGTTAAATACATCTTATTTGTTTATTCAAGATCATATTCACCTGTATATCGTATAAGCAATATATTCTCAGTTCTATATTGCGTGTTGTTCGACACCATTATAAATTCATTAACAATGATAACTTTATTACTTTTAAATTAGAGTAAGAGTACTAGTGCTAGTTTACATACAAACACCATTTTAATGATGAGTGAATCGGCGCCGGCGTGAAACTGCGACAACGACATAGAAAAATAATACAAATTTATGCTCGAAAATTATTTATAATTTGAGAAGATTTTCTTCATTTCGTAGATTAGACGAAAATGTTACCCAAATGAGGAGCACACAGTCACAGTCAACATGACTGCAATAGAATACATTTGTTGGTCCTCTTGAAAACTATGTTGTTGTCGCTCCCGATAAGTTAGGTTATGTAAATAATAGTATACATTCAAAGTTCACTTTATATATTTGTAAAATACAAAAGATATACAAAATGTGTTCGTGTTCGTGTTCGCGTACAAACAAGCGTGCGCGCCGCTCTCCGGCAAACTTTGTGCGCTTTATTAATATACATTTTTTGTGAACAATAAAATTGAACCTCATAAGACGGAAACTAATACAAATGTTTACCTTTAAGATGTATAGTTATTAATAAATAAACTTCTATAAATATAATATTGTTTCTTTATCATTTTGTAGAAGTAATAAAGGTTTATATAAATGTATTTATGATGATATGATGAAGTGGAATAATGTCATAATGTGGTTATTGAGAATGTTCACGTGCGACATGTTTCTTCTTCTCTCACATCTACATATACAATAAGTCCCCAACAGTCACAAGCTAAGCTAAGCACCAAACTTTCGATCAACATGTTATTAAATATAAATGTTATGTTTACTTAGGACAAGCAAATCAGAAATCATTAATTATGTCCAAGTGTTTCAAGCATGTACCATACAAATTGTTTTTTTTTCAAAGCTTTTAAAAACCTATCATTAGATTGCAAACCATCCCCATATACAATTCGTAACCTTTAAAAACTAGAGCTACGTTTTTCTCAAAAAAACACTTGTAATTGTACGTAAACATACATCCTTTCAGTCTTGAAGTGGCAGAATACTTTTCTTATTATAATATTGTGTTAATCTCAAAGTGAATATGTTGCTGTTACTGTTGCTGCTGCTGTACATCAGTCTGTGGCCATCATACATACACGCGGCCATACATGCTCACACACACATACACCATTTGTCCTCATTTTTAATTAAATGTAAACATTGCAATGAGATTCATTCATTAAAGCATTCACAATTCTATACATTTATAAGTTCAGTACATTTACTATATTTATAAAGATATTATACTTTGTATTCTATTTATTAATACTTGTTGTTAATTATTAAAAAGATAGTATAATATGTTCTCGGGATGTACAATATGATCAGCAATCACTACTATAAGGCCCACGGATTTAATTTAATCACTTAATTATTCTATAAATAAATATTAAACCTATGATATGATACGAGTACTGAAATGCATTTAAAATTGTTCAGCTGCGCTGCTTGTGCAATGTTGACGTGAGCGCTACACTACATAATTGCCTTTACAATTTATACCTCATATTAAAAGTAATAGAACACAATAATGCTGTTCCTGCATACCTGACCTAACCTAACCTAACTGCGCATCAAAAAAAATTTGGATAAGAAATATATCCACATTATCTTAAGTAACATCTACATTTATCATGAAATCTAGTGTTGATTGTCATGTCACTTTGATATTTTATTATAAAATTAGTGTGACTCTTTACTTACTAACAAAGTATGACACATTCTCACAACTCTTCTCTCAGTTACATATCCAAGTTAAATGCAAAAAATATTTCCACAATATATATGAGATTCCCGATACAATTGAAGACATGTCACATTTCCTGATTAAACACATCTTCTTTACCTGACTTTTCACTAAATTGTTCTAACTGTGCACACAGACACACACACACTTGCCGCAGCTCACTGAATTCACTTCTCAACAATGAACATGCTTGCACCTTTCAGTTGAAAATCAAAGCAAGTATAGTGTGAAGTCACAGCACACCAAGTGCTGAGATGTGGGCGCCCCCGAGCCGGGCCGGCGCCGGGTCACACGAGGCGCAGATCGCTGCGCGCAGAGTACTCCTCCTGTCAGACGGACGTCTCCGAGTTCAGCCGCAACACGAAGCGGTTGCTCTTAGGGTCGACCACCTCCTCCGTCAGGCTGAACTTGGGCAGGCGCCGCACGCAGCACAGCAACGATACGTCGCCCTGCCGCAGCTGGAAGTCCACGCCCTCCGCCAGCGGCCGCGCCAGCAGCTCGTCCGACACCAGCGCCCACCGCTGCAGCGGCCGCACCTCTTGCTCCGCCGACAGCACCGGACCCTCCATAAGGAACGGCTCCAGGAAGGCGCGCGGCGACGCGTCCTGCGACAGGCAGCGCGCGAGGTGCGCCAGCACCTGCAACACAGCACGGGACACCCCGCCATTACTTGATGGCCATTCCACAAGAGAGCCTGTGTTGTAGAGAGCAGTGGAGGCAACTTACGGAGTCTGCCGAGTGTCGCGGCTGTTGGCGCGTGGCGCGCAGGTACTTCTGCAGCGCGCGCGCCAGCGACGGAAACACCGCCTGCGCCGCCTCGCGAGGCCCCAGCGAGCCCCCTGCACACATGCACACACTAAAAATTATGACACATAGCCCAAACTCTAGATATGATAAAACTATAATTAGCTATGAATTTAAATGTATTGTAGGAATGTGCCAGTGCCAGTGCCAGTGCCACTGACCAAGTCCGGCGGAGACGCGCACGCGGCGCACGTGTGCGAAGGCGTCCTCTGCGGCGGTGAGCAGGCGCGCCCGACGCTTGCGAACGCGCCGCGCGCGCTCCGCCTCCTCGTAGTAGCGCTCGTTGTGCGCGGAGGCCGAGTCGCGCCGCCGGCCGCCGCTGCCCGTACACGAGCCGGTCGTCGAACTGTTGTGTTGACAAATAACATCAATTATTACTTTATTATAATTATAGTGAATGAACACTTAAATATCGAGCCCTCACCGCGCCTGTCCCGATGGAGTGTTTGCCGTGGAGCCGTCCACTTCATAGAATTTGATACTGGACTGTGCTTTTCTTTGAGACTTTGATATTGGAATCTTCTCCAAATATGGATTATATATAGGGAACTCTGTATAATACTTTTGCAGAACCCACACGGCGGCTCTCTGTATGCTCAGCTGTCCTATAGAATAGGACCGGCTCTCCCCGTCAGGGCTACGAACTATCTTAATGTAGTAGACGGGCTCCAGATGTCGTATCTCTATTAAAATTACTGCTATGTAATGTATGAATAGCAATGTATCGGCAAAACTTGATACATAAGAAACTAATGCATTGTAATCTACAGCTTCCTCCCCGAGGGCTAATGCCTTTGTGGCTTCAGTGATCTGCACAATGTAGAACAGCCAGTAGGAGAATGTGCACACGGCCAGGATCACAAGCGTCATGGCTCTAAATACAAATATCCTCGGTAAAACTGCATTGCGTGGCCTTAGGAACACAGCCCATGCTCCTATTGCTAATAAAACTAATTTAAATGCTAAGGAAAGCAGAATTCCTTTACATTCAGCTGTACAAGATAACAATTGTATCCTTTGGCTAGGTTGGATGGCTATATTGTCAGTCAGTCCGGGGAAAAACCCAATTTTTGGAAGCACAACCATCGCCAAAGGACTAACAAATGATACAAAAGATAATCCTAAAGCTATTGCTGTCCCAAAATATCTGGAACAAACAAATCCTATCCCACTGTCAGACTCCATGGGCCAGTTGCTTATATCCTCCATGGACTGAGACCCTTCTGATGTGTTCCCAGTTACAGCTGTTGTATTCTCGCCCCAGTTTTCATCCTGGGGCAAGATTTGAACTTCAATGACTTCTTGTCCCTCTCGGCAGATCTCTGGGTTAATGTTGACACTGGTTTGAAATGGGGCCATTGTATTGTCTCCACACTCTTTTCTTTGAGATTTGGTACTTCTGCAAGGAAAAATAATAAACAATCAATTTTTGTCAATAATTGTCTATAGTTTTGAAATACAAATGTATTGAAATCATGATATGGTGAGCTTGAGCTTGTGATGGTGAATAAAACTTATTAATAGCATTTATTTAAGTTAAAGGAAACTCTTGTATAGGTTATTATTTCATCTCCATTAGTTATTTATAGCAATTACTTTATTAGTTATCACTTTCTAAACAGATGACCATTAAGTTTAAGCAGAAGATATAAAAGTAACCTTGTGCTCCTGTGCGTGTGCTGGCGGTGCCGGGAGCTGCGCCGCGAACGACTGCTCAGCTCCGATCTCACGGATTCCGTCTCCATAGCTAACTTCTTGTACAGTTATTGTCGGCTCCCGGTCCTTACCCATGGGCAATTACACGCCTCGGCCTAAAATAATCCACCATGAAATCAAACCACCGAACCAGAGCAATTAAAATGCTTGGGCTCGACGGAAGTATGCACATAGCAAATCATAATTTCTTGAAAGAACACTAACAAAAAGGGCATTAGACTGTATTGATCACTTTAAGAATCCGTTGTCTTAGTAACGAAAATGGAATTTACCATTGCATTATTAATATTTTAAGATATTTTCTAATAGGTGCGTCTTTTACACATATCGGTCAAACGAAATTAGACAGAATAAACTTTGAACCTATACAACATAGGAAGATATAACTTTACTTTTGTTGAGTATTGTCGGTCTATCTCTGTCTGTTTACGCATACCGTAATAAAACTATCTCTTTCTTTGTTTCGACCGCTTTGACATTTTCACATGGTCGTACAATATTCGTCGATCGTTCAGGAGTTGAAAATGTTAAAAAAGAAGTTTTTTTTATTTATGTAATAAAACAAAAAAAAGTACGAATATAATTAACTATTCCATCTTGAAGGATTTGTAAAACTGTCGGCTTTCAACGCTAACTTTCACTAATCACTATATTGGCGCTAATTTTAAAAAATCTAGAGCGTAGATTACTCGACACGATAGTGATAAGATAAAACATTCTCTGGTATAGATAACTCATTGAACACCTCATTTTCGACATGAATTTACATTTGTTTCTGTTTATCGTGTAAAACATGGAAACACAAGCCAACGCAAACGTTAACAGAACGGAAAGGGGCGATCGGGTTGAAGATCTGCATTTAGACAGAATTGTCGCGTCTCAACCTGAGATTGGGCCGACACCCCCCGACGGTGGATATGGCTGGCTCATTGTCTTTTCCGCAGCAGTGTATCATGTAACTGTACCTACTCTTTTAAGTTTATACGGATTCATCATTTTGAAAGCAATCAGGGAAGAAGACCACGAGGAAGGGGAATTAATGAAAATCTGGGACGTGGACATAGCCTTGGTGCCTGTGATTATGGTCATAATAAGACTTCTGTTAGAATCTTGGTGTAGGGCTATGGTTAAGATTTTTAATATGCCGAGGGTGATCGCTCTTTCTGGACTTTGTTTGACCGTGGCCGGCGTGTTACTGTCTAGTTACTCAACAAACGCGGAAAGTAATGACCATATTGTAAATATTTTTTCAGGTATTTTTGCAGGTAAGTTTTATTTAACATTTTATGATAAATGTATAAGTATAACACTAGTTTAACCAGCAGGTACGATGGCACAATGTACAGTTTAATTTGTTCGCGGTATTCCAGTTACAGAAAAAGTGCCTTGCACTTGCACCTCATAAACGACTTAAACTCAAACTCTGTTTACAAATAATTAGTCGAAGAACATTTTTTTTTTAATTTAAACTGAGAATGTACTTGAACTTGTACTTTATCTATTACATAAACATTTGTGATCTTTCTTTCTTTTCAAGGGACTATTGTTACGAGGCAACTTATTGTTTTCAGGTATGGGTTGCGCTCTGACCGGCCAGCAGACAGATATAATTATAACGCACTACTTCAGAGAGAAGTTGAGGACTGCGCAGCGCATCGTGCTAGTGGCGCCCTTCCTCGGCAGCTGCCTGGTGCCGCTACTGGCGGGACACCTCTGCTCCCTCTACACGGCCGACGTCGTCGTTATGATATATGGAGCGGTCATCATGCAGAACTGTCTCTTCCTGGCCGCCTACTCTCGCCCCATATACATCGAGAAGGTGATCAGGACCACCTACAACATGCTACGCGACGCCGCCGAGGACGAGGACGAGGTTATCTTCTCCAACCAGCGACGGAACGAAACCCGTGCGGCGGCCGCCAGCGGCGTCGCCCCCACCGCGTCCCTGGGCAACACCAACCTCGCACAGGACGACGATGGCACCGACGTAGTAGTTTTTAATTCGAGGGAAAACGCAAGAGAAATTCTAGACCCATCCGTCGAGCTCCGGGAGAACGGACCTTCGAAGGAACAAAGGTTCTCCTCGGATTTCAGCGCAATGTTCGCCGAGGCGGCGGGTTCCGACCGTTTCTCCTCAGATTTCGGCTCGTTGGACGTGGCTAGCTATAGCCGCATCAGTGGCTATCGGGAGCTGAGGAGCATGGAGAGCGAGACGCAGCAGCCTCAGCCGCTGTACCGCGAGACCACGGTGGACGCGCCGCAGGCCGGTCTAGTGTTCGCGGCGGAGGTAACGCCGGGCACCGCCAGGAGGACGGCCTCTCTCAAGAAGAATTTCATAGCGATAAAGAAGATGCTGGTGGACATAAACTTCTACCTGCACGCGTTGCTGCACCTCTGCACCACATTCTCCGTCCTGGTGCTGGGCGTGGTGCTGCCGCCGTTCGTGTGGGAGCTGAATCCTTCCATGAACATCTGGTCGGTCAGTAAAACGTTACACTAATAACCCTCGTATTTATTGTAATCTCCGATTAACGAGCTTACATTGTTTAAAACACGCGATTTGAAAGTTATCATCAAATTTTGGTGACATTTGTAGTATTTTTCAGAACTCATCACGCTATTGATTGTATGATAATTGCTAACTAAAGATTCAACAAGTTTGCGGCGTTCACTTGGAGATCTTCGCAAGCGATCGATCCAAACCGGGAGGACCGCTATTAAGTACAAGTTATGGTGTCGGTTTCAGGTGTCTCAGGTGGTCGGTCTGGGGCACGGTGCGGCGCTGTGCCTGGCCGCGCCCTGCCTGCTGCTGCCCGCCGCGCTGCGACACCGGGCGCGACTGTGCGCCGCGCTCTGCGCGTGCGGCGCCCTCGGCTTCTACGGTACGCCACTAAAAGCTTAAACTATTTATAGTCGCAACTCGCACGGATGTAGGTGTCCGAGCGCTATGGAATACAATCGATCGTACTGTCAGGTATGTCGGCGGGCGGCGGCGGCGGGTGGATGGTGGCGTGGTGCGCGCTGGGGGCGCTGGGTCCGGCGG